GGTCTGAGGGCTGCGGATGTGGCATGAGGTGCACAGGTCAGAAAGGGTTAATACCTTTTTCTTTGTAAAATGTGTTCTAAATTTTGTGTAGCTGAGCCCCTTGGTTACCTAAAAAAAATCTTTGGAGATGGATGGAAATCTGCCAGGCTGAGCAGTGCTTCTGTGTTGACACTGAGCCTTCGCTCTACGGTTACCCACTAACGATAGCTGGCAGCTGGTTATTTATTGCTGTAATAAGCACTGGCAAGCAAATGACCGTGTTTTCTGCTCTGCACTGTTCTTTTCAGCACGTTGAGGGATTTCTTGCTGGGTTTCGCTATTTATGTTCGCTGAGTGGGGTTGTCGTTTTGCTTTTGCACAGTGGACTTTGGCTTTTGTTCCCATGCGGGCAATACGTAAACCGATCGTCTCTTTTAAAAATAATATCCATGAGACAGTGCTTCTTACTGTGCTGATAATCTCTGGGGTACACCCGAAGACAAACCCCTGACAGTCTCACTCCCAGAAATCTCTGCGGGGGTGTTTCTGTGCTATTATTTTATGTATTATTTTACCACTTAGAGACCCCTGCTGAAATCAGGGCTACACTGTCCATACAGGTCGTCCCTGTCCAGAAGAGCTTACAATCTAAATAGACAAGACAGGCAAAGGGTGGAAATGCAGGATGGAGAGTAAGGCAGAAAATATTATAATCCCTTTATTTCAAATGAAGCCAATGATTTATAGAATCGGTGAGTACTAGTACCCGATCTCAAAAAGAGTATTGCAGAACTCGAGGGGGCTCCAAGAAGGGGGATAAACATGATTGGGGGCAGGGAAATACTCTCATACGAAGAGAGGTTGAAATGGGTGGCATTGTTTACCTTTAGAAAGGAGATCAAGAAAAAGGGCCATGATAAAAGTGTAAAAAATGGGTGAATGGTCTAAAGAAGGAGCTACTGTTCTCCCTGTCTCATAACATAAGAACATGGGGACAACTATCCAAATTGAAAGGTGGCAAATTGAAAACCAATAACGGGAAATACTTTTTCAAAGAATGTATAATTAGACTGTGGAACTCCCTGCCACGAGAAGTTATTGAGGCTTACAATTTAGCAAAATTTAAAAAAAGTTTGGACAAATGGCTAAAAGAATATCCAGGGTGCTAATAGTTAATGGTAACAAAAAGTTTGGAAGAGATATTAAGCTTCATGGTTTAAGCCAGTCTCTGACTATTAGAGATCAAGATGAGACCTATTATGTGGGGTAGATTACCTGACATCCACCTACTGTGGGATTCTTATGCTTTCTCTGAAGTATCTGGTTCTGGCCACTGTCAGAGACAAAACACTGGACTAGATCATGGACCTCAGATCTGATCAAGTCTGACAATTCCTGTGTTTTCTGTGCCAAAAGGAAGCAGTATTATTCCAATTTTACAGATGAGAAACTAAGGAGCAGAGAAGTTACACCTCTACCCCGATATAACGCTGTCCTCGGGAGCCAAAAAATCTTACCGCGTTTTAGTGAAACTGTGTTATATCGAACTTCCTTTGATCCACCAGAGCGTGCAGCCCTGCCCCTCCAGAGCGCTGCTTTACCGTGTTATATCCAAATTCATGTTATATCGGGTCGCGTTATATTGGGGTAGAGGTGTATGTGATTTGTGACAGACCTAAGTATTGCACCCAGATCTTCTGAGTCCTAATCCAGTGCCTACCTGTATTTGAAACAATTTTATAGCAATTTATAGAAAACTGCTGATGAAATTTTTCATTTAGCCTTTAGAGCATATAACTGGTTTATTTAAAATATTTTTTCTAGTTTAAGGTGTGAAACAAGTGGGATTTGTTCACTGCTGTCTTGCAATTTAGCAGTAATTTCTTGAAGCCTCAAACTCCTTTCTTTTTAAAGTGCTAAATTGGAACAAAACCTGATGATCAAATATGTACTCTCTGTTGAAATCAATATTACAATGCTTCTCCGCAAAGGGTTTGGGGGAGCCTAGCGAAGAGATACCAATTTCATCCTCGCTGTCATGGAAAAAGCTCCTAGCTGGGGTAACCCAGACTAGCAAACTGGGGGCGGGGGGAACTATAATTTGGAAGAACTAACTGAGCAAGGGCATCATATGGATTTTCCAATTAGTCAAGAATGAGAGCTTGGTCTCGTTCTAACACTGAAGTAGTGCTGTGACTTGCTTCCCTCAGCAAAGTGGCAATACTTACAACGAAAACACTTGCTAATGTATCTGTTTGGTCCAGATGCCCTAGGACTGCCAGAGGCCCCAGAGCTACTGGAAACCTTGAAAATGCTTCATAAACTCCCCGGGTCCCGGTCAGCTATGTATCCAGTATCACCTCCCTGAGAGGCAGAAGAATTCTTCTGTTGACATAACGCTGTCTACACTGGGGGCTATGCTGGCTTAACAACGTCAGGTGGATTTTTGACACCTTTGAGCGACATAGCTGGGTTGACTTAACTTTTTAGTATAGCCCTGGCCTGAATAGCTCAAATAATGCTAGTCTTCCATTACACCCGAACTCTTCACCTTTCCACTCCCTTCCTTCCCTTTTTTGCCTCATTGTGCATGTCATCCTCTGTCTCTCTCCACTGCCTTTTTTTGTTGTTACTCCCACCCTAACATGTGATGTCTGTGTAATGTTCTGATTTTATATATATAATATGGTGCATAATTGCATTGGCTATCACGTGAAATGTGCAGTATTTGGTGACATATACAAACCACGTTGTTTACCTTCTTGTATGTTATGTGTCTCGATGAATATTAATACAAAACTAAATGACTGCTTTGCTTCCTCTGTGGCTGCCAAATGGGGTTATCGGTAGTTTAATTTTTCTCCTGTAGCAGTGTTAATTAAAGATAATAAAGATAGCATGAGACGTGAAGCATAAACAGTGCGAGCGAATCCATTTCGTACTGCACCAATGCTTTGTCGGAGGATATTTGGTATTGCTGCTTGTTTAATAATGTGTGTGAGTCATGCATAGAGTCAGTGGCAACATTCCAGAAACAAAATTCAATTCAGTGGGGAACGTTGCTGCCTGTGAGCTCGTGCTAATGGATTTCATTCCTATGTTACAACAGAGTGGAAGGGAATATCGGGGAAAATTTAAATTGGTTACAATCTGCTCATCAGCTCCAGCAGTTTCAACTCTAAAGCTGGGATATTTGAGCACAGGGAAGATCATGGGCTGGTGTCAAACTGCATCACTCCATTGCTGTGGATGGAGAGATTCCAGCTAAGGATCTGGCCCTGAGTTCTCAGTAAAAGATTTGGTCCTACATAGCGAAAAGCTAAATCCTCCTTCTCCCTCCCCCTCGCAACAAACAAATATAAAATGGCATGTTTTCTCTCACTCATGCATCATCCATTCGTAACAGATTATAGCCGCCAAAGCGTATGGGTAGTTTTGACCACCCCAGGCTGGTAACTTGTCTAAAAACATTGAGGGCATCATGCTGCTTCAATGGCTTTTTTTAAAAGTAAAAGTCTGCTTTTTTGGGGGGGCCACAGAAAACACCTTTCACACTGATTTGCCCACTGCTGGCCTTTAACAGATGCCTGGTTATGATTCAGAAAATATGTAGCTAGTTTCCCCCAAAAATCTTTACTGGGTCTGGTTTAAAACTTGAAGTTGATGTAACAGACAGAGCCTCTTGTGTTTGCAAGCTCTCTTGAGACCACGGTAATTTTCTTTCTGAGATCAGCTGGTCTGAGTCTTTGCACCAAATTCATTTCTTTTAATCTATGAAGAAATGGTTGATATTTCCTGTAGAAATCTCCCATGCAATCAAAACAGAACTTGCCCTCCAGCAGCAATACCAAGTTTGGTACACAGTAATTAAACTTCTAGGGTCAAGTTCTTCTTGCAGCTACACCAGTGAAGTCAGTGGGCTTGCAACTTGGAAGTCAGTTAAATAGAACTGAGTTGCACTGGTGGAGCTGGGAGAATTTGGCCCCTTGGAAATAGATTAATTCAGCATGCATCAAGAGGCCACTCCAATTCCCCTTGAAGTCAATAGGAATCTGTGCATTGACTTCAGTAAATGCTGTGCCAGACAGAACAGGGATGGGTAGGGTTACCATGCATCCGGGATTTCCCAGACATAACCCCTTTTTCAATCCTCCATCCGGGAGGAATTTTCAAATAAGAGGAAATGTCCAGGAAAACCATCTCCGTGCCCTGATTGGTCCCTTCCCTGCATCCACAGCTGCCAAATCCGGCCAAGCCCGGCCCACCAGATAAGCAGAGCTGCCAAGCGCCTTTTGGCCGGGCCGCCCGCCTGCCCCTCCGCGGGGCCTCAAAGCCCAGCCAGGAGGGGTGACAGGGCCAGGCGCTGTGTCCCAGGCCTGTACCAGCCACGCTGCCACCGTGACAGGGAGCACGACTCTGCCCCCACCTCAAGTATGAGGCCACAGGTACCCGCTCCAGCACAATCCCAAATACCCTGTCCCAATACACACTCATCCCTCCAGCTCCCCCCAAACACCCTGTCCCAGTACACATACACCCCTCCAGCATCCCCCAAATGCCCCCTAAAAACCCCTCCCATACCACTCAAATACCCCCTCCAGCTCTCCTCCCACAGCAGTGTCCTCTATTTGAGAACTTGAAATCTGGTAACCCTAGGGATGGGCAAATTGGAGAAGGTTTCTAAACTATGGAATCCCTTCTGAACCTTTACACCATTTTGAAGCTCTCCCAGACATTTGACTGACCCACCCATCTTTCTCCCCATGGCCGGCGTTTGACTTCTTTCCTCCACTACACCGGCAGCTACCCAGCTTGTTCCACACCTCCCACTTTGCTCCTGCAATAGGGAAACGCTAGTGCTGTTTTTTGTTTTTCCTGTGGGAGGCTGGATGTTTAGGGACATTGGAACAGGAGATTTTGTTTCCTGTTCACCAAAACTGGCGCTTCTCCGTTTAGCTTTGGTGGAACCAACGTGTATCCCTTTGCTTCACTCTCTTTGTGGTATTAACAGTGTCAGAGAGCTTATCCACCAGCAGCTGAAGCAACAGCAGATGTGGCCAGTGGACTTGGCAGAATCTGGTCACTTTCCGGTAGAGAGAAACATGAGCTACAATGCTTGGATCTGGATCTTCATTTCCCCAAAGTTTGGTTAGTTCCAAGATTTTGATTAAACCCATTTTAGTGACCGGGGTCAGCCGCAAGATTCAGAACCAGCTCTAAACTCCCTCAGGAGTAGAAGGGTTGTCCAACAAGAGGAAGGATGGCCCAG